CAAGAGCCCCCCTCTGCTGCTAATTATACGCAAGCACATATCCTGGCTCTGCACTTTCTAAATCTTCATTGCCCACTAGTCGCCCCGGTATTACATGGATTTTGCGCCACTTGGGGAAAAAAAGTGGTGGGCTCGCATCAAACACGGAATTCATCTATTTGTGCTGAAAGGAGTTATTAAAATCTTGATGGAGGGCTTTCAATATGGCAGTGACGTAATGAGGCTATAATTCTTCTAGCCAAAGGGACGGCGGTGAAAATGTCAAAAGAACTTGAATAATGAATTTCCTACATGGAACGCCATAACCAAGTGGCTGGCATAGTGTACAGAAACATCTGTGCAGAGTAGGGCTGGAAATCCCAAGGTCTAAGTGGGAAACTTCTCCAAAGGTGGTGGAGAATGAGCGTGCGAAGACACTGTAGGGACCAACCTGACATTGTGGTGGTAGACAAAGGGCAGAGGACAGCCGTGGTGGTGGATGTGGCAATTCCAAGCGATGGTCACATCAGGGAAAAAAGAACACGAAAAGCTTGAGGAAGAGAGGAGCTGGAGAGGGCCTGGAGGGTAAAGGTGACAGTTGTGCCCGTGGTGATCGGTGCACTCGGGGCAGTAACCCCGAAGCTGGAAGAGTGGTTTCAGGGGATCCCTCAAACAAACTATCTATGATGACATGGGACAATGAGGTAATGATATGCATTTTAAGCCGTAATAATGCATAGAATCTAATAAAACTGCACTCCACAAAAACACATTTTGCTCACATTTTTAATAAGCTAAACTAAACATCTAACATCTAACATACTAACATCTCCGGAGCTGGAGATGATTGTCCACGCTTTTGTTTCCTCGCGATTGGACTACTGTAACAGCCTGCTTACATGTCTTAGTAAAAAAGACCTGGCTCGTTTACAGGTCGTCCAAAATTCTGCTGCAAGGCTTTTGACCCGCACCCACAGGAGAGCCCACATTACCCCTGTCTTAAAGGCCTTACACTGGCTCCCTGTCTCACACAGAATACATTTTAAAATTCTGGTGTTGACTTTTAGGGCCCTTCATGGTCAGGCGCCTAAATACATCCAGGGCCTGATCCACCCTTATGTCTCCAACAGGAGTCTGAGGTCCTCTACTCAGAACCTGTTGATGGTCCCCCGGACTCGTTTCAAAACCAGAGGAGACAGATCCTTCCAGGCAGTTGCTCCTCGCCTTTGGAATGAGCTTCCTCAGTCTCTGCGTATCGTAGAGACTGTTGATGATTTTAAGTCCCAACTAAAGACACATTTGTTTGGACAGGCTTTCTCGCACCATTGTTCATAGGCCTCTGTGAATGTAAATTGTGTTTTCTGTGCTTGTTTTATCTGACTTGTGTGTGTATTTTGTATTTTAATGTGTGAAGCGCTTTGTGACCCTGGTCTGTGAAGGGCGCTATACAAATAAACTTTACTTACTTACTTACTTACTTAAATGATCAAACACTGTAAAGGTGCTGATTGGACTAATATTTAATACAAACTTAATTGAAATGTGCTTCCACACAGTACCGGGAATAGATCGAGAATACTATTGGATTCAGTCTGAACCCCACAACTTTTTTCCAAGCCGGAATCTGGCTCCTGGGGCGACCAAACCAGTCCTGATGTCCATGGCATGCGCAGCAGAACCATGACCGTCTTTTCATCTGTGAGAGCAACTGTGGGGTCTGTGCGGAGGAGATCAAATATTCAGTCTTGATGTCCGCAATGTCTAGTGCACTTGTTGCGCATGTCTTTCTATTAAAGCATTTCTCCATCCAGCTTGAGACTCATAGAAGAGCGGGATTTTAAACATATTGGGCCTCATGTATGAAACTTGCGTATACGGCCAAATCAGGGTGTAAATGATGCGTACGCAAAAAATTTACACTTTTCCGCATTTATCAATCTGGACATGAGCGTACGGTACGCACAGAATTTACACCAAGTCAATAGGTGGTGTAAATGTGTACGCTCATTTCACCCTTCGTCACAACACGCCAAAACACGCATGAAATTCAAGATTTGGACAACAATAAACATGTTCCCACTCAAAATTATAAGCTGTGTTTTCATTGAGCATGATGTTTCGGAATTTGAATTTGCGCATCAGAAAAAGTCTAACACTCTGGAAACACGCAAACTTCGAATAAATCACAGATCATGATGAGGAGCCTCTTCTGTTTCTATGATTTTAAATCTGACGTCTGTGTGTATTATTTTGATCTGTATGTTTTTTAAATGGGAAGCACTTTGTGATCCTGGACAGTGAAAGGCTCTATACAAATACACTTTACGCGACAGGGATGTGTGACCCGTCTATTGCTGTGGCAGGCTCTGCGCTGCGTAATTACGCACTGCTATTTGTATTCCTCATTCACATCTGGTAAAGCAATGTATGTTTTCATTAGATATGTGTAAGCCTCACACAGACACACATCCCATTAACGCATGGACCGATGGACTATGGTATTGCTCACTCCAAATGTCTCACTGCACTGTCCACCCGCAGCGCTAGGAGTGCATCCACAGGAGGTGCCATGAGAGACGCGCCACATAACTCCTCAAATGCTGTCATTCAGAAGTTTCTCCAGAGTTTCTCTGTAAAATCTGGACCTCAAACGCTCTCGCAAGTGTACAGCGCTTCAGTGCATTCACAAGACGCTGCACAATATGAATTCATTCATTCATTCATTAATTCTTTATTTATTCACTTCTACAATCCAAGAGAGATTTTTATAATGTATCAAAACATTTCTACAAATTTGTTCAAAACGCAGCTGAATAAATAGCGTAGCGCAGTGTCTCCCAAAGTGGGGTCCGCGGCCCCCTGGTGGGCCGCGAGGGTACTGCAGGGGGGCCGCGGGAGGTCATAAAAAAAAATATATATATATATAATTATTGAATGTTAAATTTATAATGTTTTGTTTGTAATATTAAAATATTTGTGTTCATTATTTGACTTGAATAATCCACTGTAATTATTTTTGTATTACAATGTTTGTAGCAGAGGCTATTTCCCCAAAATAAAATAACCAGAAGAGCCTATTCTTAATGTTGTCTTCTTGGTTATTATTTTGGGGGGCCACGCAGACCCGTCAGATTTTTAAGGGGGCCTCGGTGTTACTGAGTTTGGGAATGGCTGGCGTAGCGTATATAGCGTATATTTATTTTTACATAAGCATGAACAACCTGTGGCAGACCCTGCGCCGTACACGTAAGTACGCATATGTTTTGCCTCATTCACCTCTGGCAAAGCAATGTGGGTTTTCCTTAGTTTTGCATAAAGCCCCATAAATGCACCTGAACTTGCTCAAAACTGTCTCAGGCACTGCCCTTTACTCCGCAGAGCATAGGATGTGACGCGCACCAGCAGTATAGTTCATTCATTCATTGATTCATTTATTTATTCATTTATTATTTTTTTATTTACGTCAAAATTTCAGGAGAGATGAGTGCTGCAGTGGGTCTAGACACTAGGGAAAAAGTGTATATATAATATAGCGTGTATTTATTTATTTTTAAACGTGAATAAACCTAAACTCAAAAATGCGTGCTTTTTGCGGCTTCTTAGCCGACTTCCTCCTGACCTGTCGCAAAAACAGGAAGTGGAAAAGGCAGTTTCTGAATATTTAAACAGCCACAAGTGCGTACGCTCATATCTGTGCGTATCTCACACGTTCATAAATGCCACGTCAGATCTTGCCTATCTGGGATCTACACCCAAAATGTACACCTTTTTCTGTGCAATTTTCATACATGAGGCCCAGTGTGAGTTAGTCTACAGCTAAACAAACACAAGGTGTGTCAGTACTGATGTGATCACTTTAACCTATGTGTGGGGACCGCACAGACACATGTTTTCTATAATAAACATTGTGTCCTTGTTGATGGTGGGTCGCAACTTATTTTGTGGGTAGTCATTAGTGATGTGCTGACTGTGTAATATTGATGACATATGTGGTGACATTCAAAGCCTCGCCAGAAGTTGTTTTCCTCTTTGAGTAATTACAAAGTCAAATATACACATGACATGGACTCTTTTAAGAATAAAAACTCACGACAATGCTCGTGTTTACTCACAGTCTGAGTTGCCTTTCTTGTAAACATAATATACATTCTGTGTGAAATGTAGCTTTTCATCAGTGTACGCTCACAATTTGTTTAAGCAACTCGCAAGCTAAATGAAGGGATAACATGAAAATGCAATCACTAGATTCTATTTAATCTAAAAACAATACAATATTAATGCATCAGCTCATTAAATTTGCTTTTACCATCTAGGGCTACTAACATCCAGGAAGCAGTTTTTTGGATACCAGCCCACACAAACGCCTGAGGTTGTTTTGAGTACAATTCTTGACAATATACATATTTGAGTGTCATAGAGGTGAAAATCAGCATTCATATCGGACAAGGGCTTGGATTGACTGCCAGCAGCACTAATGCACAGTAAACATTTCTGAACACAAGCAGAGAGACGCCATACTGTTTGACTATGAAATGGCTTTCTATCTTCAGTCAAAACATTAATGTTTAATACATGGTAATTAAATAGTTCTTGAGAATTGCTGCATGTTTTCACAGACGGCAAAGCGGAATCAAGAGAAATATCACTTTCTTAGCATTCCACAATCCATTCCATACTGGTTAACTTACACATGTTTTACCCTGCCTGATCAGTTCACTTAGAGTAAAGAAATGTAAGACCATCAACCAACAAGAATGTAGTAATTAAGTTACAACTAATACTGATAAATAGGTATATTTGAAAATTATGAAGCAATAATTAATAATAGTTAATTATTATTAATTGAATATAGATTCAATTATCCCTGTAATGGTAATTGAATCTGTATATTACCACTACAAGCCATTGAAGAGTTCACATGGGGGATTTTTGAAGTCCATTAACTTGTCCAAGGCACACCAGAAGCTAAACACCTCAAAAACTGATTAACTTAAGGTGAATTTCAGAGAGTCCAGATACTCTCAGTGGCCTTCTTCAGGGGGAGAGGTGCGGAGGGTGGACATGGAAGTCCACATCTCAGCTGACCGCACTTGGACCGCATCGCTCATCAGACTGGGAAGGACCAACAGACACATTACTTACAAACAGTTGGACACTCACCTCCCTCGGAGCCTACTCAGAAAGGTCTACAGGTCAGCCACAGAAAGCGTCCGGACTTCCCGCTGCTGTGCGCGATTCTCCAGCAGCACCGAGAACAACAAGGAGTGGATCATTGGGTCACCTCTTCCGGCCTTCAGGGACATTCACTGGAGCCGCTCGGAGGATATGGCCTGACACCCTGGACATGCACTTTTTACTGCTCTTCCTTCTGGCAAGCGGTTTAAGACACAAACCATGCAATTTTAGCAATATTCTTCAACAATCATTGGTATCCATTCATCCCATTGTGATGTGTACTTCGACTCACTGTAGCCACTGTTAAGTTTGAAAATGTTTTGTCTGTCCATAGAAGATGCTTAAAATTATTTAATGATAAATATACATATGTTTTATTGTATTCTTTCTTCTTTTTTTCATATTTGACAGGATGATTTGACTGTCTAATGCCTCTGTCTGAATGCTAAATGTTTTTTCAACTGTTTTTAATTGTATTTTGAGATATCCAATTGATTTACCATTTGTTAAAAGTGCCTTGAAAAGTATTCAATACCAAAAACTTTTCGAATCAAACCCAAAAACATAGATTTCTATTTGTATATTGTGGACATTAAATAGATGTGTGGCATGCAAGAGTATTCAGGACCCATTTCTCGGAGTACAACCTCTTGCCAATATTCAGAAATGGAAAGGGTTTTGGAAGTGAAAACCTACCAAGACATAGGTATAGTCCAGTTTAACCAAACATGTGCCAATCACAGCCCACCGTGTTATCCTCATGGCCCTCTGCATGTTTAAGATAAAACACTGTACCTGTATGCGTCTCCTTAAGCTTGTCCACAAAATCTGGGCTATTTCTTTAAAACTATAACCAGAGCCAGGATATAATGTGCTGCAGACACACAAACAAAGAATTCAAGCTCTGTGTCCCAGGTGTGGTCCAGGAAGTGCTGCTGATTATTCCCTAATTAATATAAACGAACTCGGGGTGAATTCATTTGTCTTGTTGAGCCTTTGCATCTTCCTTGTGATGGTTGTCTGTCTGTGTGGTCTCGCTGTCCCCATTCCCCGGTTGATACTAATCTGAAACGAACCCTTATCCAATTGGATCTTAGCGACTCCCAGGGGGTGGGTCTGGAAATAGCCTTATCCTCTGATTGGATCGTTTGCCCGCAGGGAAGGGTACATGAGAGGTCAAAAAGAAAAAAAGGAGCCTGGTATCTTTTGGTGGCGGGTGCAGACAGGGGTGGTGCATTAGCTCATACACATCCACTCACAAAGAGCCAACAAATACATCAAGGTCTATGGGGAGATTACAATGAAGTGTTTCATGACACCTTAGAGACTAAGGCAGAGACATATGAGAATAATCGTTTCCATCGGCACTGGACACACATACATCATTTGCCCTCGTCTCTCTGCAAGGAGAAGTGGCAGGCTGACATTTATGACTAGATAGCATGAGTTTATTTTAGGAGTTGCGTAGTATAGTCCTGTATAGTATTTTCTGTCGGTCTGTCCGTGTGTTTCCATGTCTGGCCTGGGCTCCACTTCACTAGACGGATTCAGTTTGTGATTAAAGCTTTACAATTTTCCACCAAAAAAATTACATTCACTTGTCTGTCAAACTATTACTGATCTAGTATAATTATGATCCTTGACCACATGACCCAAAGGCTGCACATGTCTATATTTAGTCTGATAATCAAGGGCTGTAAATTACTTAATGTTATCACCTTTAAATTAATAATAATAATAATAGTAATTTTCCATTATATAGCTCCTTTTCATGACCAAAGGAGTCACAAAGCGCTTTACAATTTCTTGTGTTTTGGGCATTTTGTCTCTCACGCACTGTATATGTTTTTAGTGATGGGGAAACTGCAGCACGGGGAGAACAAGCAAACTAAAAATCCTTTAACCAAATATTTTGTTATATTCCACTAACAAAACTTTCCCCATTTCATGTTGTAAAAACAAAGCAAAGCCATGTGTGCCTTTGCATATATTTATAACATGCGCCAACTTTTCCAAATTCCAATTAATCCATTTGATAATCCAATGTTCATGTTTGCATTTAAAAAGTTTTGCTAGTCCTACAACTAAGAAAACTACTTGTGATAAAACAAAAGCATCCATCCAGATTTATAACTCAAATTGAAGCAGAGATTGTAAGAAACTGTTTTTCTTATAGAGAAGTTACAGGCATCATGTGGTCAAACGATTAGCGCTCCGAAGCCCAGACAGCTTGCAGCAGTTTTGTTGGCTATTTGGGAAGAGCTATAGGTCATTCTCGCACCAACTCAATACAGCTCACGTAATCATTAAGAACAGGCCTCATAGTACCGCAGGAACTATTTCTACTGTTTTTATGAATATTGTCGAAGAGCTGGCATTGACCTCTGCGCCCACGTCCAAGACAAATATGAGCAGACATTTCCTGGGGTGTTCTTTTGCACTGGCAGTGAATTCATCATGTCTGACAATTAAACAAACTCAAGTTAATATGCGATATGTAACTTTCTGCGGTTGATGATCTACTCTGAGGGTTGACATGAAAAATAACAGTCTGGAGTAAAGCAGGTGCCTCTGCTCTCTGGAGAGTTACTGCATAAAGTAATCTACAGTTATGTTGTCACGATTTCAAACTCGTAGAGCACACTGGGAACACTGCAAGAGAACACAGAACTCCACAAAGGGCGTTTTTCCACAATATTTGGCGCTCACTTGATTAGAATACAGCCTTTACTAGAGGTGGCTACCTGTTCAAAATTATGTAATCAAGTTCAGGAAATATGAAACGTTCTATTTTTGTCATTAAAAAAGTGTCTGGGATCGCGTCTTTCATTCAGACAGAAGACATGTTTTATTGTCGATGGTAGAGACAGCACGAACAACACGAACAAGGGATGTTACGACAGCAAGTGTATTATACAGAGCAGAGGCATGGAGACCTCCAATCAGCAGCTTCCACGGTGCCATGTAGCTTGGCCTTCAGATAGACAAAACAAGGGAAAAGTACTGGCTTCTGCACATTGATAGGATGATGAGTTTAACTTTAACAAAAGTTGCTTAAAAGTGTAAGGAAATCTCACATGTGATTGGAATGTTGTTTAAGTTATCATTGTAATAATTCCTGTATGTAGCTACTGTAGATATATTGTATACTGAAAGGTTGTATTGTAATTAACTTCGGCTCCTGGAAGTCTGGGACTCGTATGTTAAATACCAGGAGGAAGCAGGCTTTGTATACGCAAATACAGAGTGAATTTTGTTGTGTTGGTACCTCCTGTCCTATCTGGATATGAAGGTGTGTCTTGTTCTAAATGTAAAAAAAATATTTTGTCTTCTTATGTTTAAGGCTGTGAAGAGCCTAAGACAGGAAAGTAAAGAAAGCTAGTACTGCTTAATTACCTGACATGTTTCGGCAGTACACTTCCGCCTTCATCAGAGGTGACTCGTGATGGTGTGATGCGATCAGTCTGGGGGATCTGTGAGATATGTCAGACTGACCGCATCCGGCAACAACAGCTGATAAGAGACGCGTCACACCATCACGAGTCACCTCTGATGAAGGAGGAAGTGTACCGCTGAACCATGTCAGGTAATTAAGCAGTACTAGCTTTCTTTACTTTCCTGTCTTTTTAAAAGAACCCTCAAATCCTCAGTGTGTCCTGCACAATCAAAAGGACTGTTTGAGCTTCAGACCTGTCCTGGGAGAGCCTGAGGTGTGTGCTCTGTCTCTGTCAAGACATGGTCTCCTTGGACTGAAACAAGTAAAAAGAGTGCCTAACTATGTCCGTTTGGTGAGTGAGATTTTGTCCAGGTTCAACTGTAGTTAAATATCAGCATTAACCGTGAGGAAAGTGAATCAACTGGAAATAACATTATTTTTTGTCTTTATTTTAATATATTTGAGTTGTCAAGCAAATATCAATTAAACAATACAAGAACAAAAATTAAGCTTAAGTTTGGCAAAACAGATAAACCTCTATCGACAGATGTTGCAACTGGGGATGCACCGCTCCATCTGTGCATCCCCAGTTGCAACCATTTTTAGTTCTTTAACAGGTAAATAAACTATTTAAGTTACCTAAACAGGTGAGTCAAAAGCTTTACTATCACATGCACGGGCCATTTTTAAATATTTAACCTCAAATCAACATGCTTTCAATAAAAAAAATACCAAAACTACTGCTATCAAAGCAAATGCTATGAGTTTCAACCAAAAAAAATAATTACAATAGATTTTGCCTTAACGTGATCTCTCCTCCATCACAAGGAGGGCGAGCGTGCCTGAACAGTTGGCATGTATATAACACTTGTCTGTGCTGCAGATAGAAATAGATCTAGAGCGGGGCTTGTCATAGCAGGAGTTAGCCATAATGATAAGAGGTGTTGCAGGCTGAGGGGACAGGAGGCAAGAAGAGAAGCAGTGCGAAGGCTCATGACAGGGAACGTAGGAGGATGCTCCAATGGAAGCATGGAGGTGGCGGATACGTTGTTCCACATCTCAGCACGCACACAGGAGCTGACATTTTCACCCAATTCAAAAACTCAATCAAAGTTTACTTGGACAGTTGTGCCAGGCTGAAAGAAAATTCATATAACAAGGATTCACAACAGTAAGGACCTTTTCTGTAAAAAGGTTTGACACAGGATGGCAGTTCATGGTGAGATTTGTGTGGTTTCAAATCTATAGACTTGATTCTGGCTTTCTCTCTCTGCTAAGTGACAATAACATTATGATGAATCTAAATGAGTCATCTGACCTCACCTCAATGTCAATAAAGTATATTTGCAGAAGTAAATTTGTAGATTATAGCTGTTGGTTACCAGTTTTCCAAGAAGGCTCCTGTAACCAGTCTATCCCCATTGGGTTCACCCTTTGTCCACATCAATCTGGGTGTGTATGACATCACAGATCACAGCCGCTATATGCTGTATGTGTGATTGTCTGACTGCCGGGGGTCTCTCACTGCCTGACCCACGGTGATCAAAAGCATATATAGCTGATGCTCACACCAAGGAGGTGTTCTGGGTCAGGCCCTCCTCTCCCCATGTCTCCTGTTGTGTATGAAAGGTTTCTGTTTATGTTCTGATGTATCATGTTACTATGTTTAGTGTCATTAAATGTACATGTATA